ACTTTCTCCTCCCCCACCAGTCCTAGCAGTCACCTGCACCTTCCCCACAGGCCCCCTAACCAGCCTTGCTGGTGTCCTCCATTCCTGTCCCACAGTCCCCACTCCTTCCAGCCCTGCCAGAGGGGGCCCCCAGCAAGCCCCACTCTACCTCAAAGGCTCCAGGAGGAAAAGCAAGCCTTGGCTGACCCAAATTTCAGGCCCCATGTGGTGACTGAGTGGTGTTTCCCCCTCTCACTCCCTATCAGGACTGGGCTTAGGGTTTGCCACACTTTTTGCAAGAAGCTCTTGCAGGCTGGAACTCTGCCAGCTTGCAGACTGCTCTTTGCAAGATGGAAAATCCACAGGTATCTCCATTAAAATGAAAAATCCAGGGGGTGTGGGTTGGGACAGGCCATGAACCTTTGGAAATGGGTCCCAGTAGGAAAAAGGTTGAGAAGTACTGCCCTAGAGAAATTCCCAAGTGTCCCTTATGCTTAAATATTTATCAAAAGTTGTCATGAAATTGTGGCTCCTGTTCCACCTGTTTGCTCACTGACATTCATTGCTGACTGATCTCTTGTGATGATATCCCCCTTGGTTCTTCCAGGTGGTTATCATCTAGTGAAAATAGGAGATCTATTCAACGGCCGATACCATGTCATCCGGAAGCTTGGATGGGGGCACTTTTCCACCGTGTGGCTAGCTTGGGATATTCAGTAAGTTGGTGGGGGGGGTGGGGGCTGGTTTATTTTTAATGGGCATTTCTACAGAAGATTCAGAGTAGGTAATGTTCAGGTAGATTAGCAGATGCTTTATAAGAAGCTGCCTGTTCTCTTCAGACTTCTGTTATTTTAAACATGTTATGCATAGATTGTCCACCGAGATTATTGTATTATGCACAGGTATAACGTACATATCTCATAAGAAGAATGCCTGTGTTCAGCTGTCCCTGACCTATCACTTTTGGCCAGTTAGGCTGTTGTTTATTTTTGAGACGAATGGATAAGGCAAGATGAAGTACTTTTTTACATAGGGTGTTGTTAACCTGTGGAACTCATTACCACAGGAGGCTGTAGAGGCAGATGGTACAGCCAAGTTCAAAAAGGGACTAGACACTGATGGGCATTAGAGCTATAGAACAGGTCAAAGATGTATCCTATGGCATCCCTAAACCAGTGGTGATGAAAGTCAGGGGGGGTAATGAACAGGAGATACAGAACACTGTAGACATCCAGTTCAGTGCTGTCCCTCTAAAGCGATCCATCTCTGCCATTGTTGGAAATAGGACACTGGGGTAGATGGATCATTGGCCTGACCCAGTATGGCACTTATAAAAGGGTTAAATTTTCTTAAGACCATAAGAGCCTCAAAGACAACTGTCACAAGAGTGAACTAGAACTTGTCTTCCTCTTACTCAGAAAGCAATCCTAACTAATCAACTCTGATCCAAGTGAATTGAGAGAATGCTGACAGCTATTTGCCTTTTAATTGGGAGACCATTTGACATAAAGTTGCTCTGTTTGTGTTTAGGGGCAAGAGGTTTGTGGCAATGAAAGTAGTGAAGAGTGCTGAGCACTACACTGAAACAGCGCTGGATGAGATCAAACTGCTGAAGTCGGTGAGTACTCAAAGGGCTCTGGTCAGCTTTATCCACTTCCAGAGTTCATATGAAAGTCAGTTTGGAAGTAGTCCTTGGGTTAGTGGAGTGTCTCATATTGCCACAGTATGTGGGAGCAGCATGACACTACAGGCCTTATTGAGTAGACTTTTTTGTTTCATCCTTAAAGGAGAAAGTTTGTGCTGTGTTTACTGAGACTTAAGGAATGCTGTGCAGTGGGTTTTAACCTCTCTGGTGTTTGAGATCTATGAAAGTGTTGGTTATGACCTGATAGAGGAAACAGGGTTTCACTAATTCTACAAAAAGACATACGGGGTAGATCCAGAGCTCACCAGCCTGTCAGCAGAGCTCCTGGGAGCGCTGCATGTGCTGAACGCTCTATAAGCTCACCAGCTGCTCAGCTGAGGGTCTGCCCAGTCCTTGCTTTCAAGCAGGTTCAGCGCTTGTGGCTGTTTGCTTTCAATTTGCCCCTCCTCCCCATCCCCCATTTCAGCAGTGTGGGGAGAAAAAGGGTGAGCAGCATCCCAAGGATGCTTGCAACTCAGAGAGCAATTGGCAGCAAGCTTCGGAGCTGCTTGAAGGCAGGCTCTGTGCTGACCAGCTGGTGAGTTCTTAGCTCACAGCACCTGTGGCATTTGCAGCAGGAGCTCTGGTGACATGCTGGTGAGCTTGGAGAGCTCAGTGGCACCCAGGTTCACAGCGAGGAATTTTGGCCACCCCCTTTGGCTTTGTGGCACATGCACAATGAACTCTTTTCACAGCTGAAGGGGATGAGGCAGCGACAACATGGGTGCAGTCTGTTTCCAGCCATTTCTGCACACAGCACTTTCCTCTTCTGGTGGTCTTCCTTTTTTCACTGAATCTTATTGGTGTGAGGAAGGTTGTATACCTTATTATTACAGAATAGCTGCATGTGTAGAAACACTCCCCATTCTGGAACCTGTCTTCCTATTTATCCCACTTGGGATCCGGGAGCCAAATGGAAATGAGATATCTGAGTTTGAGTGTAAAAGTGTCAACCTATGGGGCTATTCTAAAGTAACTTTTGTGTTTTAGATTCTTATTCTACCTTATTTCAGATTCGTATGAATGTAGACATGTTTTGTGCTGTTTGAAATGCTTTGTGTGTTAAGAAATAAATGGGAAAGAGACATGGTATAGGTACATCCATGTCCCTCTTAAAGCTCCTTCCTATGACTCCCAATGTTTCCTAGCCCATGAATTCCATTAAAGGATTTATCTTGTGTCCCTTATCTTCTTTCCATGCAGGTCCGCAACAGTGATCCCAGTGATCCGAATAAAGAGAGAGTGGTTCAGTTATTAGATGACTTCAAGATCTCAGGAGTGAATGGCTCCCGTATCCTTTTTGGAACAAATGTGGAGCATTGCATTAGTGTGGATGTTTCCTGCATAGCTGTTAGGCCAATGAAAGTTTGAACGGTGTTTTGGCAGGCATTTTATCCTCCAAAAGCAAGTCTGCAATAATGAAAAAAAAAAAAAATCTCTTTTCAATAGGCCTTGAAGGTGTCGGCAGAATACGTACTTGGAATAATCATTTACTTTGCGACTCTGAAATTATGTGCATTTGTGCGGAAGGGCCGTTCGGCTGAGTCATGATTTTAAAATAGTGGCTGTACTCGAGTGCAGACTGCAGATGAATAGCTGCTGCTTTTTCCCCCTCTGAACCTTGGTCAGGCCAATAGCAGCTTTGTAATAATGTCTGACTGAAAAGAGTGAAGGTACTGTAAAATATCAGGGATGTGCCCTAGCACAAGTAGGCAGACTTCAGGGTCTGTTACTTGGCAACATAAGTTGGCTTTAAATCAGAAACATTAGCATGGACATTAGAAGACTTATAGATGCAATGTTGCTTCTAAAATGCATTTTTATGACCTTGGTTAGAAACTCTGTTGGGTTATTGAAAACCTGTAATACTGGGAACAGAGAAACCTTTGATTGTCCCTATATATATGATGCGGGCTTGTTGGTTGTAGCCATGTTGGTCTAAGGACATAGGCAGGCAAGGTTTGTTTTTACTCATTTTTTAACTACAGAAAAATAACAGCAATTTTTCTGTTGCAGATAACACAAAGACCACAATAGGGCAGAATATCTTTAACACTATGGATTCCTGTTTGAAATCTCTGGGTTTATCATGTGAATCATATTAGCACTGTTAAGCATACAAACAGGGTATGGCACCCCACAGCACGCTCGAAAGGATCTCGAGGCCATGCCACCCTGGTTGAGAATCACTGAGCTAATATAAATGCAGTTAAAAAAAATAAGATGCAGAAAATATTTTTCTGCATATAAATGCAGTTAAAAAAATAAGATGCAGAAAATATTTTTCCCCACTCCCCACTTCTTTAAGTGGTTGGTATCTTGAGATTTGTGTTGCTTAGTCAGAGCTGTGGAGAAATGGAGGTGTGATTTTATTTATTTATTTGTTGCCTGGGGTAGGAGCCAAGATGCTTCTAGAATTTGCATTTTCAGCTAGATATTGTGCTTAACCAGTTCATGCATGGTCCATTGCATAAGTGGTCTCTTTCCAGAATCTGATACGGTTGCTGCTGCATTACAGCCGTTGCGTAAAACCAACATCATCTTCAGTTATATTAAGGGTGCGTATATTTGGTGGCAATGTTTGTTTGAGAGTGCTCACATCTACTTGCTGCTCTGTAACACCTATTATAGTCACCTGTGTTGGGAGGGAAAGGGTGTCTGTAAGAACTGCCAGCTTAGGTGACAGAAATAGCTCCTTGTATTGGATTTATTTTTTATTTTTAGCTCTGTTTGGAAAATGCTGGAGGCTCACTGGGTCAGAATGTCCCTCTTTCTCCTTGACCTAATTACAGATATCTGTATGGTGTTCGAAGTTCTAGGACATCATCTTCTGAAGTGGATCATCAAGTCAAATTATCAGGGGCTTCCACTCCCCTGTGTCAAAAAAATCATCCAACAGGCACGTTTCAATTCAGTCTTCATTAATGCCCTCATTCCTCGAATTCCTTTGTGAGCAAAATTTTTCTTGTTAGATGCAGGAAAATGAGCCTTAAACTCGTATTGATGTGTCCCCACAAACAATTCAATTAAATGTAAGATTAGTCTTTTCTCTGAAGATATTAGCCCACAGGTATTTCAGCTGTCACAATTTGCATCCTGACTAGCTGAAGGTTTGCTTTGAACAGTGACTTTGTCAAGGAGAGGAAGGAGGGAAGCTTTAAAAGTTAAGTGAGCATTAGTACTGTAGCAGTGGTAGATCAAGCAGAGTGGGGAGGAGATGGAACATTTAATTAATAACACTTGAAATTGCGCACACGCTTCCTCTTTAACTCCATAGTAACAGTATCCTAAATTGGTAGCAACATCTCAGGATGGCCCTGGTGTTAAACTAAAGAAACTCTCTTCAGTAGGTATTTAAATACTCGTTAAACTCTGATACTGTTTTTCTCTTCATTTCTTCTCTTCTTGCTTGCCTGCTACTTGCTTTTCTTGACTGTCCATGTCCTCCCCTCATATCTGCAGGTTCTGCAGGGCCTGGATTACTTGCACGCAAAATGTCGGATCATCCATACGGATATTAAACCTGAGAACATTCTTCTGTGTGTTAATGACCAGTACATTCGCAGGCTGGCTGCAGAAGCAACAGAGTGGCAGAGATCTGGGGCTCCCCCTCCATCTGGCTCTGCAGGTGCCTTTTCCACTGAAAACGGGTGTTGTCAAAAGAGCTTGTAACCAGTTTCACAAGAGAAAATGCTCTAGTTCTTATCTTAGCATCGCTAAATAACGAAAAGCACTTCACATCACTTCTGTAAAGCCATTTCCCATACCAGCCACACATTCTTACAAGAAGTTAGTTGGTCAAAACAAAGGGAGCGGATGGTATCACAGTCGCACTATCTTTATTACAGTGCAGTAAAAGTAGCCAGGTGAAATGTTAGATTCAAAAGTGCTTGTAAAAATGAGTGGTATGTCACATCTTGGATCCGTTCTAGACAGCTTACCTCCTAGAGTGCTGTCAAAATCTTTGTTATAAAACTGGTCTGTTTTGGCAGTCTTGTGAAAAGATGACTCGAGCACCACCTGTTCACTGGCTTCACACCTGAGAGGAGATTAAGCCAATATAAATGGTTTCCCTGGTGCATTAACATTTTCTAAATGACAGTACAGACGAGGTTTCATTTATGCTTGGAATCTCCATATGTATTCTTCACTCTCCCTGTCAGGATCTCCTTGTGTACCGGTATGTCTAGGAACTATTGCAATATTCAATTCAGTAAGGCGCTGTTGGTTTCTAAGCTCTGGAACCAAAAGCAGTATAGTCACACAAGTGTCATGGTGTGGCTGTACTGATTCTGGCACCAGAGCTGATATTTCTCCACTGTATTGTGCTGCTGATACCTCCACACTGCTGCATTACATGCCATAGACATCTTTATATTTTCAAAGGGCCAACTTCTGGCTGAGAACCAGTAAGCGCAGCTAAATCTGGCTAGGCTAATGGCAGATTCTCTGAGTTTTGGCATTTGGACTTCAAGTATGTCTACTCCATCACTGACTGTCCAGGGAGGGACGCTTCAGCATGCTCTACCCATCCACTCCTGATCTTGTGCCTCCGACCCAAAAATGCAGTGGTGAAACCTTTTTTAGTGGCATCCCTCTGGTTGCCTTCAAGGATGCTAGTCAGAATTCTTAAGCAGCTTCAGACGGTGCTCCCTGGAAAGCAGGGTGCAATCAAGAGCATCCCTCTTCAGACACGCCAGGGGTGTCCTGTAGATGTATCTCAAGGGTCCTAGTTTGCATCTCTCTTTGCTGTGTATGCTTTACATCTTCTTTAAGTCAAACAGAAAATTCATGGTGGTCAGCAGAGGTCCCAGATGATTAGAAAAGGGCAAATATAGTGCCCATCTTTAAGAAAGGGAAGGAGAAGGATCCAGGGAACTACAGACCAGTCAGCCTCACCTCAATCCTTGGAAAAATCATGGAGCAAGTCCTCAAAGAGTCCATTTCTAAGCACTTGGAGGAGGTGGTGATTTGATTAGGAGCAGGCAGCCTGACCAACCTGATGGCCTATGATGAGATGACTGGCTCTGTGGATATGGCAAAAACAGTGGATGTGATATAACTTGACTTTAGCAAGACTTTTGATACGGTCTCCCACGACATTCTTGCATGCAAGCTAAAGAAGTATGGGTTGGATGAATGGACTATAAGCTGGATAGAAAACTGTTTGGATCGTTGAGCTCAAAGGATAGTAATCAATGGCTTGTCTAGCTGGTAGTCGGTTTCAAGTACAGTGCCCCAGGGGTCGGTCCTAGGGCTGGTTTTGTTCAGTATCTTCATCAACAACCTGGAAGATGAGATGGAGTACGCTCTCTAAGTTTGCAGATGCCACCAAGCTCAGGGGGTAGGGAAGGGGGGTAGTAGATATATTGGAGGGTAGGTTTAGGATTCAGAGAGACCTAGACAAATTGGGAGATTGGATCAAAAAAAATCTCATGAGGTTCAAAAACAAGAAATGCAAAAGTCTGCACTTAGGATGGAACAATCCCATGCACAGGCTTGGGACTGACTGGCTAAGCAACAGCTCTGCAGAAAAGGATCTGGGGGTTGCAGTGAACAATAAGCAGAGTATAAGCCAACAGTGTGCCCTTGTTGCCAGGAAGACTAACAGCATACTTGACTGCATTAGTAAGAGCATTGCCAGTAGATCAAAGGAAGTGATTCTTCCCTTCTATTTGGCGCTGTGAGGTCACATCTGGAATACTGTGTGCAGTTTTGGGCCTCCCACTACAGAAAGGATGTGGACAAATTGGAGAGAGTCCAGAGGAGACAAAAATGGCTAAGGGTTTGCGGCACATAACTTGTGTGGAGAGGCTGAGGGAACTGGGCTTATTTAAATAGTCTGGAGAAGAGAAGACTGAGGGGGGGATTTAATAGCAGCCTTCAGCTCCCTTAGCAGTGGTTCCAAAAAGGATGGCGCTGGACTGTTTTCAGCGATGGTAGATGACAGAACAAGGAAGGAGCAATGGTCTGAAGTTGCAGCAAGGAAAGTTTAGGTTAGGTATTAGGAAAAACTTTCTCAGGAGGAGGGTAGTAAAGCACTAAAACAGGTTACCCAGAGAGGTTGTGGATTCTCCATCCTTAGAGGTTTTTAAGACCCAGCTAGACAAAGCCCTGGCTCAGATGATCTAGTTGGGGATGGTCCTGCTTTGAGCAGGGGGTTGGACTAGGTGACCTCCTGAGGTCCTTTCCGACCCTAATTTTTCTATGATTCTATGAAATAGTATAATAGGAGGCTTTGGTCTGGTCATCAATCAAATGAGTCTGCTGTGTCAGACTTTCATTTGCAGAAATTGTTAGTTAAACTTCAATGAGCTATTTTGAGTGTGGATGTCCACTGTTTGTTTGTTTGAAAAATAATTTTTTCTCCAACCGTTAGGATTGGATGTTACAATTAAGTTCATTATTACCAGTACGTATAGAACAAGCCACCGACATGTCTTACACAAATGTATGTAGAGTGAGAAGGCAGTTGTGGTTTAGTGTTAGTGCAACTTTACATTTTAGCAGCACTTGGTATCCACAGAGAACCAGTATTGCTTTGTGGAAGAGGTTACTGGCTTCTAAAAAAAAAAATCACTTTTTCTGTTCAAGTTATAGGTTGCATTTATATTCCTGTACACGTGTAATGCAAGCAACTAACTCACTTCTCTTCCCTTCCCTTTCAGTGAGTACTGCACCACAACCCAAACCAGTAAGTATAGCTATGGACTGTTTATAACTACTCGTATATAGCTTTTGTAAGGTTGTTCTTTAGCAAAGGGGAATTCCGTTTTGGGAGCACAGCAGGAGGACCAGAAGAACTTGAAACATTAACAAGTTCTTTCACTATATAAACATTCATCAGCTGTGTTGGTACATTTTGGAGAGAGGTACTTGCATCTTTAAGATATCACTGCAACCCAAGCTTTTTATGGTGTTTCCAGTGGGAATCCAAGGACTACACAGGCCATAAAGACTGAACAACTTTTAATACCAAAAGATGGATCTTATAGGTCAGGATTGGGACCCACTGGAAGGCACTAGATAAAGGTTTGCACAGTGGTTGCATTTGCTTCGTTGATGGAAGAGGAACTCAGTCAGCAAAGCTGTCAGTCCAGGATTCTTCACAGACTCTAAAATAATTTGCTAAATTAAATCCCATCTGTTGCTGCGGGGGGCATTTAAAATAGAAAATAACAGACCAACCCTTAAGAGGTTTGCCCCTTTCATTTCCTTGCAGGCTGACAAAATGTCAAAGAATAAGAAAAAGAAATTAAAAAAGAAACAGAAACGGCAAGCTGAACTACTAGAAAAGCGAATGCAGGAGATAGAGGAAATGGAGAAGGAAGCCAGCCCAGTTCAAACACAGCCTACAGATCAGGAAGAAACTCAGAATCCCCTTCACATCCTTCTGAAAGAGAGTCCACAAGATGAAGGGCTGCCACATAAATCAGGTGTGAATCTTGCATATTGCGGGGCCTTGTATCCAACTGTATGTACAGCAGCACAGTACTATTTGTACAGCCAAGCTGGTAAAGTTGGAGTGGACAGTTGTGGAGCATGTGGCAGTGAAGCTGGTAACCTTATGAAAACTGTGTAGTATTCTTGAATTCTGTTGCAAAAACTTCCATCGAGTGTGAGGGACCTACAAAATATTGTGCTGGCATAAAATAGGCTAAAGCATGGATGTCAGACTTGCTTGGGGCCCCAGGCTGGGTCCAGACTGTGAGGTTTGTTACAGACCAAATTCAGCCTGGGACAGAGTCCAGAGGCAGCAGGAATCTGGGTTTGGGGACAAGGGTTCTGGTAGCAGCAGGAGTCTGGGGGTGCAGCAAGAGTTTGGGAGCAGCTGCAGTAGTGAGCTAGGCTTGCTGCTTGTGGCTCTGGCCAGCAGGGCCAAACATCCCCATATTCTGTGGTAGGTCACATCTGCCAACTTCTGGTAGTCCAGTGGGGCAGATAGAGGCTCTGCGAGCCAGATGCAACCCCTGGGTTATGTTTGACACCCCCAGGCTAAAGAAGTATGGCACTTGCCTTGCTTTGATTATTACTCGGTATATTTGTAGGTTTCTTTGTACTTTTATTAGCGTTCTGATTTCTTTTTGTTTCTCCCTCTCCTAGATGAAAATCTTCATGTGAAAGAGCAGACTATCCTAATGGATGGTGGCGTAGAAAAATGCATAATGGAAATCAATTGCAACGGTGTAGTGCAAACGACAGGCTTCTCGGACTCCAACAACCAAGGGCCTGAGCATCTTGAGGAAGATCTTCATAATGCCAATGACTGTGGCGAGGACCCTCTAGCACAGGAGGAGAACAACTTCCACGGCTGTAGTTACAGCCAGCGTAATGGAGACTCTGAGGACAGACCACAAGAAACCATGGTGGACTCATGTGTACCTATAATTTCCGAGGTGCTAGATTCCATGGTGTGTCAGGCAACTTCAAGCGAAGAGCAATCATATAACGAGCAGGAGATTAGCCATTTGCAACAGCGTATCCAGGCAGAGCTACCCTCAGAGGATGAGAACGAAAATGGCTCGTCTGTGAATAAAGGTATCAGAGGAGTCCTATGTATGAGAAACCACTTCTTTTCCCTTGCTTGAGTAGAGTTGTGCCACAGAGCAGAATGTAGTATTAATGTTGGGGGTCTCAGTTTACATAGTCGGTCCTGGTCCTGTCCGAGGCCACCATGGTGAGCCGTGTCCTGATAATTTCACCTTCATAGAATCTGCAGGTTTCATTTGACAGATAGTTATGCCTTTTTTGTGATCAGAAGCGTATAAATTGCTACCATGTTCTCATCGAATTCATTCTGTCCCTTCCTACTCTAAAAAGAACTACTTCTTTTTCAAGCAGGTCTTAATTATTTTGGTCAGCTTATAAGTGGGAATGTTTCCCTTCTAGTTGAAGTGTCTTTTTGTTAAAGTTTCTATACATAATGTCCAGGACCATCACAGGCTGGCAGAACATGTCTCTTAAAGAAAAAGTTAAGTACTAAATAGCCCACTACAAGGTTAAGAAACAAAACTGACTCTGTTGTGCCAAGTATTTGTAGTATTTACTGTAGTTATAAGCATTACAATCTTAATATCTTGATGGTGTCTGTCACCTTATCAGAAACTAAAGTGGGTTTCTAATAATTAAACTTTGAGGAAGGGGAAAGTTCTGATCAGTGACCATCATGCATCCCATGTAGAAGAAAGCATGTAGGGTTTGGAGAGCAAATGGTGGCACTGTCCATGTGGATTTAATCAGCTGTTGTGCATGTTGCCTTTAGGAAAATCCACTCCTGGGAATTTCCTCCTTAATCCTCTTGAACCCAAGAATGCCGATAAGCTTAAAGTGAAGATTGCTGACCTAGGAAATGCCTGCTGGGTGGTAAGTTTAAAACTCTTTAGGGTCAACAGACCAAAGCTTCTAATCTGTTCCCAGTTAGATGGTGCCTTCTACATCCTCCCTATTTTTTTTTTTTAAATGAAAGATGGAAAATGATTGTTGTTCCTATGCAGTTCTGTGAGTGGAAGAATCATGTTGTTATCCCTCCAGTGTTTGAAAGATCCTCTGCTGTTCCGTGTTGTAGCCAACCTTGTAGCTCATTAGCTTGACTGCTGATTGCAGAAGACTGAATGTAAACAATTTTGTCCCTGCAAAGCCTGTATGTACTGCAGTATTCTTAAGCCAAATTGAAATCTTGAGTAGGAGACTGCCTATATAAATGCTTGTAAAAGACTGAAGGCTTGTAAAAGGCTGCTAAATACTTTGAAATGTCCCAAGTGTTCAGGGCCCTGTGTTTGACTTGCATCACTTAGTGAGGCAGTGTCCTAGTTGTGTTCATAGCTTTAGGTGCTTAAAGTAGATACAGAATCATTCTCTGGTAAGAGAGGTAGAAATATGAATGTGGAGTTCCAGGGAACTAAAACCTGGTTTTATGATTGTGTCTGCCTGGAGTTTAATGTAGGATATATAACAACACTCAGCCTGTGTTCACCAAAACGTTGCCATTTGCTTTAATTCTGAATTTTCCTGATGTGTTGTTGTCTGACCTCCTTAATTCTGTAGCATTAACATGCAAGCTCGTTATTTTGAAATGAGTCCAGCTAGTAAGCATGCTTTCTACAGTTCAGGCTATATGTTTCAGGTTTGTCGGACACTGACAGTTTCTATCAGATATGAGCCTGCTTAATGATCACAAGTCACTTGATAACACTTGGCAGGTTAATTTTTAAAATGGACATCTTCCCTGCTGCTGCTTCTGAAGAAAAGTTTCTGCTAGGAAAACTGTCTGTAGTTAGATCATGTTAATTCTTACAGAATTTTTTTCCCTCATTTAAACACTTCCTTAAAGTCTTGTCTGTTACACTTCATCTGGGAGATGTCTCTGTAAACATCACTGTTTTGGTCTTCACTTCAATAGCATTGTTTCCATTAAGGATCACTTGCATTTTAATAAAGACTTCTTTTCTCCTTTAGCACAAGCACTTCACTGAAGATATTCAGACAAGGCAATACCGATCTCTGGAGGTATTGATTGGATCTGGTTATAACACTCCTGCTGACATCTGGAGCACAGCTTGTATGGTGAGTTTAGTAAGCTTTCCGACTATACAGTTGATTCAGTATAAGAATAAGGAAGAAAGGAAAGTATTAACTTTCTGCTTGTTTTTAATCATCTCTCCAGTGGTTCTTGGTTTGTTTCAGACACTGATTGGGAGTTCTCTCTTGAAAGATATCCATTAGTTTTAAAATGGTGTAGGTTTATAGCCAGGGGGCCCACATGTTATGCAGGATATTAAATTTTAATTATATGGCAGAAACCTCAGACTTATGCATTATCACTCTTTAAATCTTCCCCATGCAGATTATGGTGTTTATCTTGATAAATATTTTACTCTGTCTCCAGACTTCAGATTTTCAGTATACTCAGTGTTCTTGTATTGATGCATAATGCATTAAGTATGTTGTTGAAAAGAAGCTGGAACTGAAACTTGGTAAGAGGAATTTTGTCCTCTTTGCCTTTGAGAGACCTTGAGAACCAGTCTGGAACTGTAGTATGAGCACATCATAAGAAGTGTTGCTGTTAAATCAGCTAGCAGCTGGACATTTAGATATTGTGATGTTCCAGAGTAGCACTCAGTTTTCGTCTGGCAGGCCTGTTCGGGGATCTCTGCAGACTCCTGAAATAAAACAAGCGTAAGTTGAGTCACTTTTGGAAGATTTCTTGGCAACCTTAGTGCTGGGTATTAACTGATAAATAAAACACTTGGCATATGGGCACATGAACAAATTTATCACCATGTAAGTTGGTCTGTGAACTTAGTGTGTCATCTGCTCCATGATAACCATGTATGTGTGCCTCCTGTGGTAAATATGAGGCTGTTTCTGTAATTGTGAAGTCTTAGGGGTACACAGGCCTTGTGAACAGCTGCCTAAATATAAGCTCTTGACATACAAGTGCCATTTAGCACTGACGTGTTGACACGTGAAAGTGTCATGTGTCAACTTCATTCAGAATCAATCAAAAATGCTTTTGAATCTAGAAAGAGATTCAGAGAGAAGCTGTCTAGAAAATTTGATGAGCTTCTGAAAACTGCTTTTTTGGAGGAAGCTTAATAAAAGAAACCCCACCTTCTTAGTCCAAGTATCTTGCCTGCTTATGATGCTTCTAAATATGGGATCTGGTCTGGGTCAAGTGTGTGGATCCTAAATTTTGCACTCTGTTTTAATGATTCTGATTTCTAGTTCATAGATTCTCCACTTTGCTATGATTCAGACACTGATGGAGGTATTTCTATAAGGTGCAGCATTGTGGGTTTTGGAACGTGTTGCACTTTACAGGGTATATGTCAGGTTTAATTCAGTGGAAAACCTAGAACAACCCTGTCTCCTCAGCTGCCATGACATGCAGAATATATTCTAAATTAAGAATCAAGTGTAGTTCTAGCAGCAACAGTTAGAGGTACCTGATGTGATTTAACACTACTTTTTTGTTGTTTAGGCCTTTGAATTGGCTACAGGAGACTACCTGTTTGAGCCTCACTCTGGAGAAGACTACTCTCGGGATGAAGGTGAGTGTCTTTTTTTTTTTTTTTTTTTTTTTTT